AAATATAAGTGGGAATTCTGTATTTCACAAGTCAATATTACAGCCCCGTAGAGATAAACGGGCGTATTAATTTCTTATCAATGAAATAAAAAGTAGGGTAAAGTGTAAAAATTCTCCTTGAACTATGTTAAAATTTATAAATAACCCACTCGGAGTATATTTTGTGCATAAAACCCCTGAACTATCACATTTAGTCGCAAAATGCCCCAATGCCTTAACTATATTTCATTAAATGAACATAATACCCTTTCTTATTAAATTACACTTAATCTATTTTTCTTATTGAAATAAATCATGAAAATAGATTATACTAATTTAATGACACACTCTCCATTAAATTTGGATAAATTTACTTTTAATTTTTGAAATTATTTTTTAAAATAAAAATCTTAAGTAGATTATTTTAAAACAATTTAAGTAATTTCTTAATTTTTTATGAATATATCGCATAAAAAATAATTTATTTTTTATTTAGGTAATTTGTTAATTTTTTATGAATATATTGTAGCTCTAACTGTCTTAGTAGTCTCTGTTATGTTTCCCCCGCCAATCCAAATAATTACTTGACTTTGTGGTCGTCTTTGTTTATGTTTGGACAAACACAAATAATTGATATGGTAAGGACTCATCACATGACTCGTGGCAGCCCTTTATTTATGTTTGGCTCCACAAACAAAAACTTAATAATTGACTTGTCCTTGGTCTTTATTTATGTTTGGTTCCAGAAAAACCATTATGCCCATGCTCCCAAATATATAGAAAAATAATTTTAAATATGGAATTTGAAGAGAGAATGAAGAAAGGTCATGGATTTTTTATGAAGGGTTGAAAGTCAGTTTTATAAAGTAAGCCAACATCTAAAGCTAAAAATCCAATGTTGCAATTATAATGGATGGCAACTGGTAATGTATGTGAAATTCAATTCTCAAAATAAATCATTAAGGTGCCCATTTCATATGCGCATGTCATATTCTGGGTAAGTTTGAAGAGATATATAGATGAAACTATATATATGATATTATTGAATATTTACTTGTGTTTAAGGCTAGAATATTTATATTGAATATATGGTATTTATAGAACAAAACTGTGGTTGTAAAATAAGGGTATAACCGGACTGTTCATAACCACTGATCTAATTTTTTATTTTTATTTTCTCTGAGAATTGTATGCATATTTGCAGTGAGCCCAATAAGTGTAGCCCACACAACTTGGAGGCAAGAAACAATGACACAGTAGGCTTTAAAGAGCGTAAAGCGAGCAAAAATCAAAAGGCCCAACATCCAACAGTGGGCCTTTACTTGACTTGTCAATTTTACAAGTCCTTTGCCTTTCTATTGGGCCTATTTGTTCATGGGCCAACCCTTACGTAATTATCCACCTATCTATACAACTTGCTTGAATTTTCGAAAATAAAAATTAAATTTCAGTGTGTTTTTGTGTTCACGCAACTAAGAATTAATTATCTCAGTTTGAATGTCAGTTTCGAGATCTAGTTGAGAAAGTAAAGATGATTTAATAAGCAAATGTGTACAAGAATTAATTACTCAAAAAAAAAAATGTGTTCTAGAATTTATGCTTGTGCATGAAGTTTATTCTCAATTATTTTTTTTGGGCTATACTGATTGTGTATGAAGTATACCAAAGTTTTTACCCAATTCGTATGTGTGGGGATCATCTTGCAATATTACAAATAATTAATTAGCAACTTGTTTTGATTAATTGAAATTTTATATATTTATGAAGTTAGGTGTATTGTCTTTTTACACATTTATTGGTAACAACTAACAAACACAATTTTAAGAGTAAAAATTAAAGTTTAAGAAGTTTTTCTCATTTAAATAATTCTTACCAATAAAAAATAAATATTACTCTCAAATAAATATTAAAATTATATTTTAAGCAATTAGACATAATTGTAAATTACAACAGGTCAACAACATAAAATTTTAAAAGATAAAAAGTAAAATCTAAATTAATTGAGTTTCTTACGGAATTGAGAAAGATAAATTATTTTAATATATAAAGAGTGTCTAAAATAATATGATTGTTACTTACCCAGCTGAATTGTCAATTGTCATGAATTAGGCTACGTGATAAGGAAGGGATGCACTTATATATTTGGTCAATTATTCCTTGGAAACAATAAATTAAGGACCACTGTGCCCACATACAACTCTTTTTTCCAGCCAATTGAGTACTAATTGAATTAGACAAAAAAAATCACTCATATTTGGGACATACAACTCTAGCTTATAAATATGAATATACCTATAAGAAAAAGAACTAAAATTATTTTTAAATTGAAACCTCAAAAAATAACTGCAAAAGGAAAATCAATAAATCATAATAAAATAGAATAGAAGAAATAATGAAAAAAGAAGAAGAAAAGAGAATATAATCAAAAACCCTAAACTGGACAAACCTAATCCATCGAATTCTACAAGAAAAAAAAAAAAAATCAAGAATTAAGGACAAAGGTAAAATCAATAAAATCGTACAATATACATAATAATTGCAATTTCTATTAAGGATTTGCAAACATGCAATATATATATATAACTAACAATAAGGTTTATTAAATAAGACTAAACAACTTAGAGAAATTGTATATTCATACTCAAATAGAATAGAAGAAATAATTAAATTTAAAAAAAAAAATTAAAACCTCGAAAAATAATAGTAAAAGTAAAATCAATAGAATCATAATCAAATAGAATAAAATAAGAATGAAAAAAAGAAAAAAAAAATACACTTAACCAAAAATCCTAAATTGGACAAACCAAATCCATCAAATTCACATGAAAAAAAAAATATCAAGAAATAAGGATGAATGTAAAATTAACAAAATCGTATAATATACATGATAGTTGTAATTCCCACTAAAATTTTCAAACAAGCAAAAAAAAAAAAAAAAAAAAAAAAAAATCTATAAATAACTAACTATAAGATTTACTAAGTAAAACCAAACAACTTAGAGAAATTGTAAAAAAAAAATTGACATGCACAAGGATTACCCTAAGCTGGACAAACCTAATCCTATCAAATTTTGTAAGAAAAAAAAAAAAAAAAAAAAAAAAAAAAAAAAAAAATCAAGAAATAAGGACAAATGTAAAATCGATAATAATAAAATAATAATTTTAATAAATTGTAAAACATAAAGCATTTCAAAAGTTAATTAAAAAAAAAAAAAAAACAGTTTTAAATAGAGTTAAAAAATATATCTAATTTTGGAAAAGTGTACAGTCGTCACCATTCTTCTATATGCAAATTTAAATGCAAGAATTTTCATTTTATACAGAATTATTGATGTTATGTCGGGTAACATAAAATTGGTATCTTGGAATTAAAATGGAAGGAAAATCAGTTAAAAAAACCTTTATTATTATTTTTTTTTTCTAGGAGTTCACTTTAAACTAATTTTTATGCAATTTCAATTCTAAAATACCAATTCCATGCTACCCACAAAATTTCCTTTTGTTCTCTTTCTCCATGTCCTTAACAGAGGGAACTAACAATAGGTAAATAGACTACGAGACTTTTTTTGGTCAATAAATATTAAAGTTATTTTTGTAATTAAAATCTCACGTTAAATAAAACACATTGGTTACCATCCATTGTCAAAGTCTTCCTCCAATATACACAATAATTGTATTTCCCATTAAGAATTTTCAAACATGCAAAATAAAAATAAAATATATTATATAAAATGAAACAACTTAGAGAAATGATAAAAAAATATTGACATGGACAAGGTCATCCTACAATATCATACATAATAACTGTAATTCCCATTAAGAATTTTCAAACATAACAAAAAACTATAAATAACTAATGATAAGATTTATTAAATAAAATGGAACAACTTAGAGAAATTGTAAAAAAAATTGACATGCATAAGAATTCAAACAGGACCTTTTTGTGGAGATCCACTCTCTCTTCTGCCACCCAAGTGTGCTCGATTAATTATTTGAAATACTTGACACTTCTTGTACTTTTAATAATAATATATATAATAGTATTTTAAAAAAAAAAAATTTGGTAACTTATGTTTTAATAATGGTGAGGAGTTGTAAAACTTTATGTTTGTATTTTAATTTGTAATTTATGATTTACTTATTTTATTATTTATTTATTTTTAATTACTTATTTATAGATAATGATGATTTGAAATTCTTGACACGGTTGTATTTTTAATAATAATATAGATATTGATATTTATATAAAATATGCCATAATATGTATAGATAATACCATAGGATTACGTACGGAGCACATTACAAATATTTGGCAACCAACCCTTTTTATTTTTCTTTTTCTTTCTTCTCTACCCGCTCCCCTTCAACTGACTACTTTTTTTCTTCCTTTCTACGCGCAGAGTACATGTATCAAATTGCTTTGTCATGATTGGTCCATTCAAATTGTTTTGCTATCGCCACCGATTTGTGGGATCAGATTCACGGTATTTGTCCCTCACTAAAAAAGCAGTCTTTGTTTATTTCTTAATCCTCTCATTGGTGGTGGTGCTGCCCCTGTTTACAATATGCTTCATAGAAATTCCTGATTTTTTTATTTGTTTTTGTTGAATGTAAATTGTCTGTTAGTACGCACAATTATGTCTTGATCTGTTATTAATTTGCTTCGAAGATAGTTCGAAGATTAGTTGTTTATCTTTCTTTTTTAGGTTATTCCAAAATACTTGTCTACTTACTAAAGTTTAAACAACATATTTCACATATTTCCATAAAATACCCTTAAAATTTTAAAAAAAATTCAAACTTAATTATATATATATTTAAAATTGAAAAGGTATGTTTGTAATTTTTAAAGGGATCAATGCAATAATTACATATCCTCTTAAAAAGTTCTACTCCCTAAAAGAGACATCTGATATAAGGAAGTGGGAGTATGAAAATTGGACTGATGGTCTATCATTGATTTTTATGTGGAAACACTTGGAATCAAAGCTTTTCATGAGAAAATACTGAAGGAACACAATATGATCTCAATTTACTTTCTAGGTTCATTTACCAAAACTTGATAAAGTTGGGTAAACAGAAAATAAGCTACCACCTAGAGTAGCACAATCCCTTTCTATCACATATTGATAAACGACCAGTTTATATTTTCTATCAATTCACAGTTGTAACATTTACATATAGAATAGTAACATATCTTAGTAATAATACCACCACCTTGAGATTTTGACAGTGCATAGCTATTCATTTTCTGCCTTTCTTGGACTTCTGTTTCCCTTCCCGCTTTTCTTGGACTTGCTGTTTCCCTTCCCCTTGTTTTGTGCTTCGGAGGAAACATTAGCCGACTTCATAGTGTCTTCATTAGAGTTGCTAGTTCCCTTACCCTCAGCCTTGCTGTCATATGGTGCCTCACTCTAAAGCATTTGTGTCTTCAACTACATTTCATCAAAATTCCCTCTCTTTTATCATCCAGAGGCTTTAAAATATCGGAAATTTCCCATAAAAGCCCCCAATCTGTTTGCAGGTTGCCTTCCTTTCCATTCTTAGTGTTTGTGCTCCGATCTTCCATGGAAGCAAAACTACAAGACTGTACAATATAACACTTCCCCTGATCATCACAGTTCAGAGAATTTTTTTCACCCCATGAATTCCTTGAAGTCTCTTCAACAGCTACCTTTTTCCCTTGGTAAGCTTTGGTATTCGTGGGAAACAACACTCTCATGATATCCTCTTTGCATTGCATATCTCTCATGTCCACAAAAATGGCATCAGGGAAAAGTAACTCTGAACAATCTCCTCCCAAGCTCACTACCACAAGAGGGTCCCCTATCTTTTTAAATGCTTCAGCAACACTTACTTTTACACCTTCAAATACACTAAAGTCATAAATTTTTCTATCGTTCCGAAGGGCAGTGAAGAATTCCCTTGGTAACTTTGAAGTAATATCATTCCACCACAGCAAAGTAAAAAGTACATCAAAATAATATCCAGTACCCGCACAAAGTAAACACAATAAAACAAAAAGTCTCAGCACCAGCAGTGGATAGTAGTAATTAAAATTAATGTTAGAATTTTTAATCCTATCTGCCGTTTCCTTCTTATTATAAACAAATTGCTGGAGGCTGCGAGACACAAAACCAAATATCACGTACTTAGGCATTTGCACATCAGTTACTAAATTGGCACTGGGGTTGGTGTTTGGTTGCAGATGAAAAAGCCACTCAATAAATGAAGACTTTGTAGTGAGAAAGTATCCCTCCTCCTGCACGTAAGATGCTGAGATCAGAAGGTGCTCAACAAGATACAAGAAACAACTAGGTGATATATAGTCAATTTCATTCCTCCAATTAACATTAAAAGTATCTTCCATAGCTTTAAGGAATTCGTGAACCAAAGAAACCCCAACAGCCTCAATAGAACTGCTGGAAGGTGAAGATTCTATATCTTCTTTCCCTCTGAGATTCTCAACGAATACCCTCCATGATGAATCCACATCAAACCTTTTAACAAACTCCTCGCATAGTTCATCAGCTGGCGTTTTAGATCCAAGCCACACCATTACCACCCTCCCTATTTGTCCATATGTCAGTTTACCTTTGAGGTTCCTACAAATAACTTCTTCAAGCAACTTCCTTGAAAGCTCAGTTCCCCTCAGAGAAATCATATTCTCTGCCAATGATTCTCTCCAGTCAAAAGGAAACACTTTTTGGAAGTACTCGGTAGATAGTTCAAAAAATGTCTGCAATTTCCTAGTATCATGGTGCTTGAGATCATGAAACTTGGACTCTAGGAGAAACTTTGTAACCTCAAATATATGAATGAGACATATGCTTTGGCAAAACACAGATGAGGAATTCCTGGCAGTGAACTTATAGAGGGCTTCAAGCTTCACCAACACCTTCATTCCAACAGCAAGTAATTCTGCATGCCAATGAGTCCGGGCAGCTGAGACAAACTGGTGAACATCAACAGATACCAACTTTCCACTACTTCGGAGAAATCTGTCGTCAAGTTCTCTCACCCAATCGGCATCAGAGTTCATCAAAACATAAGTGATATTCAGATTATTGAACTGCTTTCGCACGCCAAAATAATTCAAACAGAACTCACCAAAACCTTGATATTTACTAACATTTTGGGTTTCAAGACACCCAAGATACTCAAAGATATTTACGACATACTCTTTCCACATATTCCAAAAGTAAACCAGTGTTTCAACAGACACAAGGTTCTGTGAAATTTTTTCTTCTGAATGATTTGTCAGATCCACTATCAATTCATCTTCCCATGCATACTTTAAGGTATTGAAATGAAAATGAGCATCCAGAATTTTTCTAATGGATAAAATTTCTCCCCTGAGGCTTTTCTGTCGTTGGGAGGCATTGAAATAGTTATTCAATTCAAACAACTTACTCTGTTCATTCGATAAAATGTTAACCTCAGTACAAACAGATTCATAGAAAACATAGGATTCTGAGAAAGCATATGATTCTTTCTTTGCTAACAATTTGGCATTTGCTAAGAGTTCTTTCTTTTGTGCAAACTGCTTCAATGGCCAACCCTTGCTTCCAGAAATCCATAGTGAGTTGGAAAACACATACCAGAGAATGAGCAATGATGCATCACAATAATGTCCAGCCTTCCCTAGCAGCTCAGCTTCCAGTAGAAGATCTCCTCTCAGCTTTGCAATCTCTGCCGCCTCCAAAAAGTTTCCTGATTCTTCTTCCAACAAAAAGAGTTCATCAAGGCAATCCAAAGACTTCAAGAAATTGCGCCTCAAATCCATTGAATGAAAAGTCCTAACAAATTTCATCATGGAATTGTTATCTTTAAGCTCAAAATAGTTAAGTGCACAACTCTCCAGAAACTCTTGTTCAATTTTTTTTTATTTCACTACATCTTGTGATCATATCACCATTCATAGGAATATGTTGTTTCCAGTATTGGATACATTGAAGACCCAAGTCCAATAATTTTCCTTTGGTGCAAACTGATAAGCACTCGGAAAAATAATTGCCCTTAGCATACACTTCCGCTGAATGCAAATAGCATCCTGCTAGAGAAAAACATTCACCAGCTTTCTTCAGCTTGGATTCCCCACATTTTTCCAAATAAATTCTACCTGCAGCAAAAAGAGTAACAATCTGAATGTCAAACTTTTCCAAGCAAAAAATGGATTAAAAATTCTGCTTAAACACTAGATACTTGAAGATTATAACAATACCATCAGAATGAGATGAAAAGAAAAAAAGCAAACAGTATAGCTGCTATTAATTGTTAAAGAGTTTCAATCTGAGATTTAAGTTCTAGCCTTAAAAATGAAAAGAGATGATACTATAGTGAACTTATCTTGGTGCTATCCTACCACCCAAAAATATTTCAACTGAATGCAATAACTTTCAGGCATTTCATACAATACATAATCCCACAACATATATAATTAGACAAGTAAATGCATCCTCTTAAGATCAAACAAAAATTACAAAATAGATAGACAGATAGAGCCACCAAAAAAAAAAAAAAAAATGGAGAATCATTTCCTACGAAAAACCAATGGCTAAAAAAAAAATATTCCATCTAATAATCTTCTTGCGCATTACTGAACATATCTTAAATTAGATCTCTATTACGATACTCCTCTCCCAAAAGATATTTCACATCCTCCACCCACCACAATACTCCCAATTTGTGATGCCACAAAAGCTTTCAGCATTCAGACAGATTTAAGTAAAACCAGATTTCATTTTCTAATGGAGATAAGAAACTAGATATATGAAGAGCATAATAAACTAATTTCCTAAACAATATTTTCAAACTAATATTACTTTTATAAAAATAAGGAAAAAACAAATACCTGCTCTTTCATACTCCCCCAGATCACAAAAACATTCTGCTGCAGACTCAGTCCTACCAATCGAATCAAAGATTTCAGCAGCCTCCCTAAGTACAGTAGAAGACATTTCAGGATTTGAACCACGCAAACGGTCAGCTGATGCTTTAAGGCCAGTAGCCTTAGCCCTTTTCTCCCACATTGTGTCTCCAGCTCTTTCAAAGCACATTGTTGCCATCTCATAGTTATTTTCCCAAAAGAGCTGCAAAAACACAAAGATCATATGTATGAGCAGAATCATTGACACACAAGAAAACAAAGGTTGTTAAAATTAAAGGAACATACTTTGTTATTATTAATAGTAGCACCACCAACAAGAAAGAGTAATTCTGACTTTTAGCAATGACAACAAGAAAGTAGCAGCGGTGAAGATATAAAGATAGATAAAGCAGACCTTTATACCCCGTGACTTCCACTCCTCTGGGCTGCTTACAACTTGCATTGCCTGTGCGAGTGAATCATCGAGTTGCTTCACTTGGACCAGGCACAATGTCTTCCAATAATCAAACATAGGCTTGGATAGTTCATCGATGTTCTCACAAATCCATAGCCTTTGCCTTGTGCGAGTGATAGCTACATATAGTTGCTTCAGTTCAGAACACAAGATACTGTGTTTTGTCTCACTAAATGTTGGAAATGATTTGGGAGAAGTAGCATCTAGCATATCTTGTTCCTTCATAAATTCATATATTATTCTCCACTGATTTTTCAGAGGGGAAGACCCAAAAAAGTTGTCCAGCAATACATCCTACAAATAATATTACAAGAGGAGTCCATGAACAGAAGATAATATTTAATGGAGATGTATTAAGTGTCTCCAACAACACTTTAAATAAACCATAGCCCCAACGGATAGCAATTTGATTGAATAATCTAAAAGAGACACATTTTTTGTTTCTCTTTTTCTTTTCATAGATTCATCGATTTAAGGGGAGAGGTAGCACAAGCCCCGGAATAATAATAAATGAATTGACAAACAGAGTCGCAATCATATATATATAATATAGCAGCAGAAGGGTTATCTTTGCTGTTCACCATGTGGAAACTGAGACATGTAGGGAACCACTACTAACTATAATTTTGCTTCTCTCAAACACATTACAGGTGGCTGCTTCAATAAAAAATAATGTAACAGTGACCATTTAAAGAAACAGAAGATAAATAAATAAATAGTTTAAAGTTAAGGTTCACCTGAAACTCTAGGCCCTTGCACTCCACTATAGTAAGAACAAGGGCTTTCTTTCCCACAAAGTCAGAAATTTCCTTCCTAGCACGATCATCACGTACTAATATGACCTGCTCAGCACCAAATCCTACAATATTGCCACCAGCATTTCCACTGTTTCCAAAAATAGTAACAATTGCACTTTCATCATTCCCAGACTCAAGTAAAATTGGTGCTTCACCATATATAAGACTGGTCTCAGGTTTCACAACATCAATAGATTGAAGAAAGAAACGGTAAAGAAGATCAATTGTGCTTTGTGCTAAATTAAGTACACCAGCATGGGTACGAAAGTTTTGAGTCAGATTGAAAATTTGCGATATTTGTCCCTTCTCTTTTTTTTCCATCAGATTCATTACTTCTTGATTTCGAAATGAACTCATTGTAGAACAATAGTCGTATCTCTTGGAATCTAAAATCAATCCCCCTTGCAATAGTTTGTGCTGTATCACCCGAAAAAACAAAGCCCTCGTCAACATTTCTGCAAACATGTTTAAAAAGAGCAATTTGTCTCATGGTAAGATCTTGCACTTCATCAATATAAACAAAATCCATTTCAGCACCCTCAAACCTTTCCTTTTGTAGTCGATGATGAAGATCAATTACTAAATCATCTATATCAAATTCACCTTTTTCCATCTTCATCTTTTCATAATCTTGAAAAATATCATAGATTACCTCTCTCTTCTGCTTGCTCAAAGGGGACACCCGGCCCTCAGAGAGTAAAACATAATTTTCTCGACTAAGTTTACCATCAAGGGTCCCCCCTGCTTGCAGGCCACCTTTTATATGGGAAATTATCTCGGTAAACACTACAGCAGGATCAAGCTTCTTTATTAGCTTGGTATGGAAATGCGGCCAGTAAAATGAACAGAACCTGTCATAGTCAACTTCCTTCATTCTTATGAAAGTTTGCAATGCAACTGATCTTGAAGTTCCAGTTTTATGATGAGAAAATTCCCTTAAATCACTGAATCTTTCAAAGTATGAATTACCCAATGTTCCATCAAGCATCATTAAGAACTTATGAAACGTTATGAAAAGAGGATATTTGTTAGGAGGAATTTCAACAAAAGAATCTGGGATATCTTTAAATTCTTCCATATCATCCATATTAATTGAACTGTTTTCTGCTGAAAAATTTCCACCATGGGCGAAGCTGTACAAATAAATAGGACTATCATTAGGAAAAAGAATCCTGCCGCTAACATGTATTAATATACGCATACAAGAGTATATTTTAATTCTACAAGACAATTCTCTAGAAGTCTTTAGAAGGTAAGTGTTGCAAAGCAAAAAATAAAAGTTGAAGAGAGAAATTAAAACATGAAGAAGACAAGGATATATGTGGTTCAGTCACTAGGGCTTACATCTACGACACACAAAGCCCAAAGGGCTACATCTCTTTCATTACATTCTCTCTTAATTCATCTACAATACAATGGTGAAGGCTCCTTTATATAGGAAGAAATTATGAGAATGAAAAGTGTTTATCCCATTATTTTTGGTCAAATGGAAAGACGACATGTGGCGAGTCCTAGAGAACTTGCCACGCTGGATTATTGCCTGATTATTTGAAAAAGGATCATATTAGGGCATCATGGGACATTCAAGACTTTATACCATGAAGGTCAAAACAATTCAAATATTGCCATATAGGCTCACGCATAAGGTGTGAATCAAGAGAGAAATTGTCTACCAGTAAGAAGGAAGCATGTGGCGAGCTTCAATGGAGCTTGCCACACCAAATCATAATTTAAATGAACTTGGAAAGGAAGGCATTGCAATATATATATATATATATGACATCATGCGATATAAGGTGGATTGGATTGATCGTATTTGGGATGTTCACAATTACCTTCCAGCTTCAGATTTTACATGGATTGTAGCAAAACAACATTATTATATTGACTCTTACTTTTTGAAGATATGCATTTGCATTTACTCTCCGGAGGAGAGTTCTTCTCAACCGTTGGAATGATGGAGAGCCTAGCCCGAGAGCTTGAAGTCCATATGGCCCACACCTACTATTGGAGACGTGGGAAAGAAAGATAGAATTAGGGCTTTTGCTTTTATAATTATTATTGAATTTTAGGGTCTTATTTTAAGGTAATAGGAATTTTAGGGTTTTTCTTCAATGCCTATTTATATGTTGGTTTAGACATTGTGAAATACAGCTTTTGATGATTATTATTGATTTTGAATTTTGAGATTATCGTGATTTCTTCCCCCTCTATTATTCTTCTCTTCTGATTTCTCTTCTTCTGAATTCTTCTTCTCTTCTGATTTCTCTTCCCTCCATTCTTCTTCCCTTTTTCTCTCAATCTCATTCTTATTCTTAATTTCGAATCGCCCCTACCCGCTGCTGCATCACAGGTACTCCTGCTTTTCATGTTAAAGCGGGAAAACCTACTTGGGTTCTGGATTCCGGAGCCAATGGTCACATGACTGGTGAGTTGTCATTATTTTCTACTCCCGTCACCCGTGTCTGTATCAGTCTATATGTACATGCCTGCTTTTCATCTAACAGAAATGATTTATGGGACTTCTACAAGTGTCTGTATCAGTCTAAATGTCCTGACAAGCATATAACATCTTATCATGCAAAGTTAGCAATACCAAATAGGTTGGAATAGCCACTTTAATTGACTGATCAGTAGTTCACACCCTTGCCACCAATAAGAAAATAAATAGTCTAGCATTTAGCATAACAAAACAAACAGAAAAAAGTTAATTCATTTGGCCTGACATTATTTAAATGGGAAAAGGCAAAGATGATCATGCTAACAAAATAGAGTGTATTCCAACAACTCCAAACTCGAAAATTATACGCACCTTTTCAGCTGTGAAACATGTTGTTTGATAGCATAACACAATTTTGGACTAACTGTAACAATAGCTGGCGAAATGCAGTTCCCTTAGTCTCTCCGATGCACTCACTAAACTCGTTTATCTGGCTAGTACTCTTAGTGGCACTGCTCTCAACTACATAAAATCCATCTGTAGACATATGGTGTTGTTGCTCCTTTTGAAATAATTTCATGGTCAAAACAGTAGTTTTTCCAGTGCCTGACCGTCCAACTATAAAGGTGCTTTTACTAAAGAGAATAATTTCCAGCTCCCGATCTGTTACTTCAAAGGGGAGATCCAGTTCCCCACCATCGCAGCCAGAAAGCAGGTGACTCACAACACCAGATGATAATGAGTAGAATTTCATCAGCAACAAGCTTTCACTAACCTTTGAATTCTCAACATAACTTCTACAATCAACAGCTGCAACACTTGATTCACTCCCAAATTCAGTGTTGCGAATATTCTGAAACCGGACAATGTCATAAGAGGTCACCCAACTCTTTGGAATTTCCAAGTCCCTAAACACGAAAAAAATTAAATTTAAAAGAAAGCAAAGAACTCTTTGAAACTCAAATATATAATTAAATCATTTATAGTTTCAACAATCAAAATAAGGCAGCATCAATTAAAACTTAGGCTCTGTTTTGTTCAAAGATTTAGCGAAGAAAAGGAAAACAATAGGAAAAAGATTTGTTCAAACAAATCTTTGCAATTTTTTCTCATTATTAGATGTGACTGAAATTTAAAATTCATTAAAATTGGACAAGAATTGAGAGAAGGGATAGGGAAATTAAATGTAGAATTACAATTTTTTTCTTCATATTCCATTTTGAATCTATTTTCTGTGGTGAACGAACATGAAAAGTATTGATGTGTTCTGCAATGACTTCCGTTTTCCATCACCAAATTCATGAACCAAATAGCACCTTAGCATTTAGCAACAATAGGTCATTTCCAATAGCATGCAAAAGAACAGACATACCCCTCAAGACATTTGCAGCGCTTGATAAAATCATCGGTGTACATTGCAATTATGCTATCAAGACATTTCACCAATTTCGAGATCTCCTCTAAAGGCAATATGTCCCAAACCTTCAAAACTTGGATGTACCTAGATTCCTTCACTATGTCAATTGTGCATACAACATAGAGCCCTTCAACCTTGAATTGTTTAACGCTCTGTGAAGAGCTTTCACAAACTGAGTCCACACTCCTTTTCTTAGGTCGCCAACCACTAGATAGCTTAAGTAAAAGGTTCAAAACAGACTTCTTTGAATGGACAGACATCAATTTTCCAAATGACTTTCTAAATTGATCACTGAAAAGAACCTGGGAGATCAAGTGGGCAAGAAACTTTTAGAATAAAGCCAAAGACCAATAATCCAAATGATAAAGCTACAAAATTATTCTAGAAATTGGAAAAGATTGGACAATAAATATTTGGCAACCAGAAGCTATATACCTTCCACCTTGCACTTTTGAAAAGTGTACTGGCCCCATTAAGCAAATCATCAAGTTGATCAAGGTTTTTCTTCACATCTAATATTGTTTTGGCTATATCACTGTCTTCGTCGGCATTGAAGAAACATTGACGATCCTTAGCATCTTGGACTAACTCTGCCCATACTGATCCACTGTTGGATAGGGTTTTCTCATTTCCAAGAACCCAAAGACAGTGCCTGGAAAGATGTGGAAAGGTCATGTTCTAAATATGAAGATTAGAAAGAAATCACGATAAAAATTTCTTTAACTTTGTAACGAGCTCTAGTCAAAGCAATGTTAGTTCTTTGAGGACTGGATATGAACCCGATGAATCCTCTACTATTAGTTCTTACAGTAGATATTATCATGATATCTTCCTCTCCACCTTGGAACCCATCAATAGACTTCACCTTCACCATGAAACCAGCAAGGTTCTCATACTTCCGTCCAAGTTTTTCTTGAATTGCCACAACTTGGGCAGCACAGGGAGACACCACACCAATGCTAAGATTCTTTTTAGAGCCATTAATCCAAGCTGTACATGAATATAATACGTGCATCAAAAAGAAAAACCAAACTAATAGCATACGTTAACAACTAAAAGTTTGAAACAGCCCCAATAATATTCTTTGTAGAGCTTACTTACCTGGATAACTTAAACTAAGCAGGGATAAGAAAGGATAAGACTTGAGGAAGTTTTCCATCAAATTTGTTGGGAAAATAGTATGAAAACTTCCTCCATAAAGTAACCATATGTCAATATTTTGGTATTTAATTCTATCTAATCCTGCTTACAATTTTATTTTATTCTTTGACACTCTATTGGGTTATCGGAAAGAAGGGGGAGAAAATTCATAAAATAGGTTCGTCATATCAAGTATTCTCCCTCTCTCTCTCTCTCTCTCCTTATATATATATCTTCAATGGTTAATGAAACCTTAATCGGTCTCCTTTCTTACAAAAGATAATATTATTCTTGCCAAATCTCTTTAACTTGACCCTCAGTGCCCATATTGTCCAATTAAAGAGATCAACTTAGACAGTTACTATGCAATGCAATCATATTGCTGCAAACTCAAAAAATGATTTAATATAAAAATAATAATAATAAAAATGAAAAATAGTTTTCTGTAGATGATGATGTAAAAGTGAGATAGGAACATGAAATCATTTCATAAAACACATAGTATGTCAAGTAACAAAGTTAATATTGTACTACAGACACTTTTAGTTTGCACTTGATAATAGTTTTCTGTAGATGATGATGTAAAAGTGAGATAGGAACATGAAACCATGTTCTATAAACACATAGTATGTCAAGGAACAAAGTTAATTTTGTACTACAGACATTTTTAGTTTGCACTTGATATACCTTTGTACAGATCCTGCACTATCTTCAAAATAATAGCTACCTCAACCATATTTCTCCGGCTATGTCCAGCATCATCCAGTTCTTCTTTTCCGCCAATAACATTTATGAAAGAGTAAGGACCAAACATTGGACCTGGAAGATAGTGTCTCTCATAACTTCTACTGTTAACATTTGGTGCATCCAAGATAGATTTGTGATAAAATTTTAAATTAGGGAAGAAACTAATTTTCGGATGCATTCTATATTGTATATTAAGCAGATGCTTGGGATGACTGGATGAACTCAATCTTTCAAATAAGCTTCTTCCAAAACCAGCATTACCAGAAACCTATTAATAAATATATTCAATGTGTCAAAGATGCCATTATAAAATCAATATAGAAAAAAGAAGAAAGAAAAAAAAATGTAAAAATTTTCTGAGAAAACCATGCAAAAATCTAGTTATCTCTAGAATTTATAATTCATCACTACTAGAATTGACTTACTTCACTCTTGACCATTGCTGGTAACTGGCGTTCATCACCAATGAGAATAGCATGCCTAATACCCGGAAGTTGAAGGGGTATGGTTGATTCACACTCCTTCAACTGGGCAGCTTCGTCAATAACAAGCAAGTTCAGTGGTTCCATTTCCACCCAATGAAGCATATATGAAATGGAAGCAGTGCAGAAAATTAAGGAAGCTCTTTGAAAACAAAATTCCATTATTGAATCTATGTTCATAACACTTGGAAGGTTAAGTTTCTCCAGAGAAAGCCGAAGAGTTCTCAAAACAGAAAGACACTTGCTTCGTCTCATGCACAGCAGCAGTAAGGACGTATCCACAAGAGCCTCAGAAGTGTCTTCAACTGTTTCCTGACGTGAAAGAAGCTCCTCCAATTCTTCAGAAACCACATTTTCTTGAAACAACATTTCCAACGAATCAAGTAAATTAATAAGAGATACCATGTTTTGAAAATTATGTTCCAGAATGTAACGCTTTGGTAAATTGGTACAGAATTTAAATAAACATCTCCTGAGTGGTAATGCAGTAGATTTGAATCGGTCTCTTGCAAACTCAAGAAATGATTTGAATTCCACCTCGGTAGGTTCACCTTCTTCGCAAAGTTCTTTTGCCATGAACAATTCATTTTCAACAAAAATTTGGTAGTGAGAAACACAATCTTCAAGAAAATCTATCATGGAATTTAAACAATGCTTCCAACCGGTCAATGGTCCTAAGCACTCTACAAGTCTTTTAACAAGATATTCCAGATAGATCTCCTCAATTTCTGATCCAATTTTCAGTTGGTCCTCATTCCCAAATAATAAAATATCCCCCAATGAACAAAACAAAGAATCCCTTGCAGAATCAGCTTTAAATGATTCTTTAACCATCTTTAGCACCCGAGAGGCTACTTCCTTTATTGCTACATTTGTTGGGGCACAAGTAAGGATCCTGTGGTTCAGTTTTAGGAGGCTAAACAGCATCATACTGACAGTCATAGTTTTCCCTGTTCCAGACGGACCCCATATAAGTTTCACAGAAGTCTTGTGTCTACATTCCATTTTATGGAGAGAATCCATGATTGCCTCAGTTTGAGATTCATTCAGCTTAGACAAAAGTCTTGTACTGAATCTTTCAGCTAATTGGCTATTGTTATGTCCATAACAACAATCACATGTTTCCTCAACCTGTTTGCCACAATCAAAATATCAACCAAGATCCCGTAATGTTAAGTGTAGATCAGAAGAAATTAACTTCTACTATGATCTCAATTAACGGAAAAGAGTGAAATTTAGGTACATGAGATAGAACATATGAGAACTAAAAGACAAAAAGAGAATATGAAACTCAAATATACATTTATATGGAAGGAAGATTCAAGTGGGCATAGGCAAGGACACCTAAGGAAATGAAGTTACAATGATTGTCAATCTATATTTATATGAAAAGAAAACACATTTTTGACATTACCAATACATTGTGACAAACATGCGTCCCAAGTAGTCACCAGTAATATTTTCCCTTAAGATTTTATTTACTTTCTACTTCCTTCTTCCAACCCTTCAAAAGAAGTTATATTGTGTTGAATCATTACAAAAATGATATTAGCATTAGCATCACTATGTTCATGCATTATTCACTTCCATAATCCATATTGACTTTTAATTATTCACTTCCACCATGTATTTAATTGAATATTCCAATGTTTATGCAACATTAATCTAGTCATATTTCTTACCACAGAATCAGCGCGCAAGATTTTCTTGATAATCTTCATATTTGTAAACATGTGCAATGTATTCCATATTCTTTGGCTTCTTGTTATATTTATCAAGAAAACCACGAACATGGACTTCCACATCCCATCTTTGACTTCAATTTCTTTTGACGCTTTGATTCTAAAACGAGTAGTTGTGCTATCATCTTCATTCTCATCCTCCGTGATAGTAGTGAATGATGCAAAAGTCCAGGTCCTTCCCGCCCGTTGTAAATCAGAAATAGTCTCAGGTTACATATCCGAGATGACAAAAATATCTCCAGGCAACGTTCTGTAAGGCTCTTTGGCATGACAATTAAATCTGTTTTTCCAGTAATCAACCTTGACATCGTATAATAATTTTCCATGGAGCTTACACTCGTTAAAAGAGATCACTTCTGCAAAAGGTGCTCTGTATAGAATTTCCATACTGGAAGCCAGTTCTGCTCGTGTTTCTTCCAGTAAAGGAAAAACATATGAACCAAGATAATTATCCTCCGATTGAAATGATAGAGGAATCTTCTCCACCTGGACAGATTCAAAGAAATTTAAATTTAGTTCTCAGAAGATTCAATAAAGGAAAGATAATCCAACCAAAAGGATAAAGAATCATTGATACATAATGCATAAGGAGGCCTTTCAAATGGCTTCCTAACCAATAAAGTAGGTGCTTTGACACTATACTTCTGAAATAATCGAGGAGCAAGATATGTAATCAATAAGTAAAAGCAAGCTCCCACTTAGCACTTAGTAAGCACAAGCCACAGCAGCAAAATCATCAGTTCTTCCAGTATTTGCAGTAAGAAAGATAAGGTAGATCTTGATATCAAATGGCTTTAAGCCAATTTGAGTTTATGCTGGGGAGGTATACTATAGAGGCCGTTTACTCATTAAGGCAGTTAGTGGAAGATTGCAAAAGAAAACAAAAAGATCTACACGCGATTTTCATAGGGTTAGAAAAAATATGCTATAGTAACAAGAAATATAATTTGGTTGGCTCTATGAAGAAAACATATCCCTACAAAATTTGCAAACTTATTCAAGATATATTTAAGGATACAAAAACTAAAATTAATACTATAAGTGGGGAGACTAATGATTTTCCAATAAAATTAGGAATACACCAAGGCTCAATACTAAATCCATATGTATTCACGATAATCTTGGATGAAATATTGAGAGACTTACAAGGAGGCATTCCATTGTGCATATTATTTGCTGATGACATAATGCTATTGGCAATGATGTTAGAAGCTTGGGGAAATGTAATAGAGACAGAAGTTTTTAAAAATTAGTGGAACTAAATCAGATATTGAATATAAATTTAGTAATGATATGGAAAATGATAACATTGTGATAAAAATTCAAGACCAAAACATTACTGAAGATAATCGTTTTCGAACTTTGTAATTTCATTATATGTTTCATTATAGTAATGTTTAAAGCTGTTTTTTTATAAGAATGTACTCAATTAATACTCAAATTAAATGGGATGTGGCAAAAGAAAACGATTTCCATATATCTCTTAGATAGAAAACTCATCTCTGCTATTAAATTTGAGTTTTTTTTCCCTTTCCATCAATCCATATGAAGGATCAGGGTGTCCAATCTCACGCATATCCTCTAACCATATCCATGTCGCGTCGGCACAGGTACACAAGTGATATAGAAGAGTCGATATAACAAAAGGTACAAATAAATTAATAGAGTCAAAGCAGTTCTTTTTCATGTTGTTAAAAAGGGGAACAATATGAGTCTGACATTTCAGGAAACAAATCATGGGAATTTAGCTTGCTAAGTTTAAATGAAAATGAGCATATTAAAATATGAAATAAATTTTAACTATGTTGATAAGAAAAAGTTTCATGAAAATCACTAATCAAATGATCGTCACATGCGAGTTTACCATTTTCAATCGAAATTCAGAGATTAGCTAGAAGAAAAAGAAAAACATTTCCCAAAAAAAAAAAAAATGAGCATAATCTGAAATTTTGAAACTATAACATAAATTAAATAAAATTATTTTTAACAAAAAAAAAAAAAAAAAAAAAAAAATTATATTAAATAGTCAGTAATAATTTTTGCATAACAAAAACATACAAACTTTCACTATGATTTGTCAATACAAAAATGATACAACATTGTTCAATAAATTGATCCAAGACAATAAATAAATCCCATGAGCATGTTTTATTAATCAGGAATCACCAACAGAGCAAAAGCACAGAGCAGTAGAAACAGAAATAACGAAAAACAGAAACCTCTATATGTTCATACTGATATGAAACCATGAAATTTTGATAGGATTGGGCCTGAACAAAGCCCAGCCCATTTATGCCAAAATCGTGTTAGGTACAAAATCATGATTAAAGTCCATTAATGCCATTGGTAAGCATCAATCAACTATATATTATATTCCAAATATATCAATAATTTAATCTAAAAGCAGCAAAAATTGTCACAAAGATTCAAAGGAATCAGAAAAAATTAAGAATGAAACAAGAAGTAGACCTGATTTTTGTACAGATCCTCATTGTTAATATCTTCAAGAGACCATGAAAACACCAAATCAGCTAACTCTTCTTTGGGCCCTTTCCCCTTGTTAGACAAAGAAACCCTCTCCATCATTATTTTCAAACTATGCTTTTATGTAATCACAATAACAAAACCCCTTTTTACTTTCCACCCTTTAAACCTTCCATTCCATCAAAAAGATGTCTAGAGAGAGAAATTATAGCTATAGATTGTAAGAGAGAGAAATGGGTTTCTTAGTTATGAAGGAAGGAACCTGAAACGAGAAGTGAAGAATGTATAGATAGTACAAACACTTGCACCCCTGTCAAAAGAAAGAGATATTCATCTCGATAGTCTGTCCGTACACACATACAAATGTGTGTGTGTGTGTGTGTGTGTGTGTGTGTGTGTGTGTGTTTTGAGTGTGCAATGTATATATGTCTATGGTCGAATCCTATGCTTTTTTACCAATAGAGAAAGCAAACCCAAAATCAAACGAGGAATCAGAAAGCTTGGGAAAAGGTGACAGAAGAAAATTAATAATTTTTTTTTTTTGATACGAATATTCCAGGAGCCTATACGATACAGGTACCATCAATCTTGTAAATGTATCTGTGTTGATTTTTGTGTTGGTTTTTATTTGGTAAATTAACAGAGTGCAAAATTTAGAAGCAACAAAATGTTAAATCTGATGAGAATATTATATATATATATATATATATATATATATATATATATATTTATGGATAAAAAGCCCATCCTTGCCTATATAATAGGAGAAAAATCGTCTCCAAGGCAACTCTCACCGGAGGCTGTCCTTGGAGGGGTAAATGGTGACGTGGCCATTTTAGTAAAAAGGATATTTACCTTGTGAGTTGTATATACATACATTCCTCTGTATATCTGTACAAGAATCAATATTTTCTGTATACTAAATGAAATTTAAATTCCCTCTAAAACATAAAACTAATTTCCCCCAAAATTTTATTTGATATCTTCAAGTTATATTTCATTATTTCCCTCTTAAATTCAGGTCTCTCTCCCTCTGAAATTGAAGTCAGTCTCTGTTGATGGCCAAGACCAAGCTTCGTAAATTCGGACAACTTCATCAAACAAGCAAAACATTGTCCCTTTCACATTCCGGCGAGAAGCACCATACATTCCGGCAAGAAGTAGAAAATATACATACATTCTGGCGAGAAGCAAAAGGCCACCATACATTCCGTAGAAGTAGTCCACCATACAATATTTGTAATTTTGTTTATTTTTCTACATTTTTATAATATTGGTATGTTAAATTTACAGAGTTTATGATTTTATTTATCAGTTATAAGTGTTCATTTCTAATTTAGAAATATTTGTAATTTTGTTAGTTTTTCTGCATTTTCATAATTTTGGTATGTTAAATTTGCAAAGTCTATGGTTTTATTTATATGTTCATTTCTGATTTAGAGATATTTGTAATTTTGTTAGTTTTTTAGCATTTTCATAATTTTGGTATGTTAAATTTGCAAAGTCTGTGTTTTATTTATCGGTTATAAGTCTTTATAATAATTATTTTATAATATTGTTTATCTGTTATAATTTTTCATCTTCACGCCACATGGTGGTTTTATTTATCTGTTGTAAGTGCTCATAATAATTGTTTTATGTTAAATAGATTTGACATGTGATTTTTAGAGTTTTATAGTTAATGGCTAATCTGTTGCAGTAATTTATAATTCATTTTTACATCTGATTTTAGTAATTCAATTTGTGATATATTAGTAATTTTGTTTTATATTTTGTTTGTGAAAGTTCAATTAATTATTATTCAATAAATTAAGACCCAACAAAATAGTGAGTGTTATTTAAAAAATCAGTTAATTGAATTGAGAGATAATATGTTTTCCAGTGGAGATATCTGTACATTTGTCTATCGCAAAAGCTTTGTTTATTTTCTTTCCTGCATGCCTGATTTTATTTGGCTTGGCAATAATTTTACTCATTCAGATGTTGTTGCGTAAATGAAATATTGTGATGCATATTAACAAAGAATTCATATATATACGGTTATGTTGTAACACATATTAGTCAAACATTCTGATGGGTATTTAACACTTACCTTCAATTTCGTAAAAAAAAGATGTAATGCATGTTAAGAAAAAATTTATATTTTATATACAATTATGTTGTAACACGTATTAGTAAAACATTCTCGTGAGTATTTAATGATTTCGTCCACTTCTCTTTAATTTCGTAAAAAAAAAAGTTGTGTGTATGTTAAGAAACAATTCATATATTATATACAATTATGTTGTAATACATATTAGTAAAACATTTTGATGTGCATTTAACACTTACCTTCAACTTAGTAAAAAAAAAATGTGATGCATGTTAACAAAGAATCCATATTTTATATACAATTATATTATAGCACATATTAGGAAAACATTCTGATGGGTATTTAACACTTACTTTTAATTTCGTAAAAAAAAGATGTGATGCATGTTAAGAAAGAATTCTTATTTTATATACAATTATGTTGTAATACATATTAGTAAAACATTCTGATGGGTATTTAACACTTACCTTCAACTTCGTAAAAAAAAAAAATGTAATGCATGTTAAGAAATAATTCATATTTTATATAAAATTATATTATAACACATATTAGTAAAACATTCTTATAGGTATTTAATGATTTCATCTACTTCCCTTCAACTTTATAAAAAAAAGTTGTAATGCATGTTAAGAAACAATTCATATATTATATACAATTATATTGTAAAACATGTTAGTAAAACATTCTGATGGGTATTTAACACTTATTTTCAACTTTGTAAAAAAAAAATGTGATGCATGTTAACAAAGAATCCATATTTTATATACTATTATATTGTAACACATATTAGTAAAACATTCTGATGGGTATTTAATGATTTCGTCCACTTCCCTTCAACTTCGTAAATAAAAGTTGTGATGCTTGTTAACAAAGAATTCATATATTATATATAATTATGTTGTAACACATATTAGTCAAACATTCTGATGTGTAGTTAATGATTTCGTCCACTTCCCTTTAACTTCGTAAATAAAAGTTGTGATGCATGTTAAGAAAGATATCTTATATTTTATACAATTATCTTGTTACACATATTAGTCAAACATTGTGATGCGTATTTCAGCTTCCTTTGGTCTAAATTGGTCATAATACATGTATTTACTTAATCAAGTGGTAGCTACATGGGGTGTTTTGAATTGATTACTTCGTGGAGGTTCACTAATAGATGTATTTAACAACTCATTTTTTCAACTACGCTTATATAACAACTCATTTTTTCTAAAGCATGTATGCGGATGTGCACTTTAATTTAAGAATTAAATTAAGAGAAATGTTGTACAAAGAATTGAATGTGTTGCTGTAAAAGATGTGTTCTATTAGTGGTTTTATCAAGTGTTTACTTGCATTGAACATCTTAAATAAAAGCTATAATGTATGTTAAACATAAAATTATATACAAATATGTTATAACACATGCATACTAGTCAAATATGTTAATATGTTTCTATATTATATGAAACTTAATTTTGTTTGGTTTTCGCTTTAATGAAATAAGTTATCATATTTGTTCCTTAAATCAAATTTATTACCATTTGAAACGTAATATATATGATTATATGTATCAATATATTTATATATACAAGCGGAAAAAAAAAAAAACTAATTATATTAACAAAAATCATATTTGTTCCATAAATCAAATTTATTACCATTAGAAACGTAATACATATGACTATATGTATCGATATATTTATAGAAAAAAAAAAAAAAACTAATTATGTTAACAGAAATCAAAAACGGTGACCAATATTAACCAATATCTGAAATCATTTATTTCTTAATTGCAAAAAAGATAAATTGTTTATCTATTTACATAAATATATATCTCTGTAAATATAGTTTTCTCTTTCTAAATTTTCTCCCTAATTATATATATTATCTATTTCATAATTTTTTTTATTTGAAAAAGAAAAAAAGAAAATGAATGAAGTCCCAAAATTGGAAATAGATGATGCAAGATCGGAGTTTCCGGTAGACGATGTTTTCGGCGAGATCAAGTGAATTCCGGGAGAGGAAGAAGGTTGAGATCAGTATTGGTCTTGCCTTGGCGCCGTGAAACTCACGCACCACCGCATCGTAGGAGAGGAGGTTGTGCTCCTTTAAATCCACGATGAACTCCATCTCTACATCCACCATGGTTGGACCTCTGTGTGTGAGAGGTTTAAGATCTCATTTTTGGTCAACAGAGGAAGAGAGAGATGGGAGGCAGATGAATTGATTGTATGGTATAAGTATATTTGTATATGGTATTTGTGCTTGTGGTAAAAATTAAAATAGCTGAATAAACATTTTTATTTTTGTGCTGAGTTGGAGATGAGTAAGTGATGATGTGGCATAATTTGAACAAGTGGCTTGATCACAGCCATTGGATCCTCACTGGACCCTCTCCGGTGAGAGGTGCCATGGAGAGGATTTTTGCCCTAATATAATATACATATACTAGTACCAAAGAGTCTAGACGTGGTGCAAGCAGATTGGGCAACTCAACCCCACTGCTCTGCTGTGTTGACTACAACCAATCTTCATTGGGAAGATTTTGAGGATACGTTTGGACAAGTGTCTGTTTTGGATGATGGAAATTAGAGCAAAGTAAAAGTTTTTTTTTTTTTTTTTTTTTTTTTTTTTTTTTTTTTCTGGCAAACAGAAACGTTTTATATTCATTAAAGCCACAAATAAATGAGGAGGAGCACACTTCAAGCATAGAGACAAAGACATAAATGTGTGCGCGCACCCTTCCTAATCAACTCTACCATAGGACTGCTTGGAACTGTTTCAAGACGATACCAGACAATATAAAATGGTATGACGCTACTGACAACATCCAGAAGGCGATAACTGCCACCTCATTATAAAGCATCAGACCAAACATAGAAGCCCATCCCAACAGCACTCTAAGATCCAAAACCATTGCATCCCACCAATCCGTATGAGCATGACTCCGGGAAAGCTGGATAACAGCATTAACCACCTCGTACCTCTGTCTACACACAGAAGGAACCCAATTCGA